CAGCCCGCTGCGATGTCTCCAAGTGCCCCAGCCCTAGCTGCCCCAGCGGCTACGTCCCCGACCGCTGCAACTGCTGCCTCATCTGCGCCGCGGGCGAGGGGGACTCCTGCGGCCGCAAGGAGGACCCGCCCTGCGGGGACAGCCTCGACTGCCGTTACCCCATGGGCAAGCGGTTCGCCAAGGGGGTCTGCCAGTGCAAGCTCAGCGCCCAGGTGTGCGGCAGCGACGGCCGGACCTACGACAACATCTGCCAGCTGAAGGCGGTGAGCCGCAAGGCACTGCAACACGGCTTGCCCGCCGTCGCCCAGGTCCAGAAGGGAGCCTGTGAATCGGGTAGGAGCATGATGGGGCCTGCTCATGGGGCAGAGGGTGGACAGCGCAGGGGTGTGCAAGTTTCCAGGCTAAGAAAAGTCACGATTTTCAGTGACCTAGGAAGACTGGGTGGCTTCAGAGACTGTTAGCAAGGTCAAGGCGTCTCTCTTTGCTGCCAGTGATCGCTGTGGTATTGGGAAGAGGTGTGAATGGCAGAAATCCTCCTCTTTGATCCTCAGTGTGGGCTGGAGGCCTGGGGTTGACGTTTGGGAAGGTTTCCCCTTGGTAGCATGGCCATGGGCGCTTCAGCATCGTCCATGTCACTGCTGCAGCACTCCCATGAGCAGGAGACGAATGCACTTGACAGCATGGAAGCGAGCTCGGTGGAGGGCGTTGGGCTGGCAGGCAGGGCAGCAGTTACGTCCTCAGCCGTCATCCCTTCTCAAGGCAGGGCGTGCTGGCAAGGCAGCAGTACAACCTTGCTCTCGTCCTGCCAACACCTCATTCATTTCATGTCTGTGCTCACTGCTGAGGCGTTTCGGTGGCATTGCCTGTGCAGGTTGCACTGCAGAATCATTGCACCATGGGCTGCACAAGGAGAGCAGGAACCTGGGAAAGCTTGTGCTTTAGGGCCTTCCCTGGTGGTGTATGCGAGGCAACTTGTATTCACCTGACAGGCATCTCTAGGCAGAAAATGCCTCTTAAAGCCATGTAACTCAAACAGGGCAGAAGTACCAGGTCTTATATAAAACACCTAAAACATAGTCTTTTGTCTATTTTCTGTTCACAAGAAGTTTTGTAATCTTGTAGAGTCTAAACTGGGAAAAAATGCCTGCAAACCTCCTTTACAGTTTAAAATATTGACACTCAGGATATCAAATGGTCTTCTGTTTGCAATAATGTACTAAGGCCTTTGCTTGGATGTTGAGATATGCTGTGGCAACTTCAGGCTTGATGGTTTAACTTCAGAAAGTGTAGTAATCACTTCAGTTGGTAAATTTTTTTTAGTATTAAAATGTGTCACTTTATGAAAGTGTTAATGCTGCTAATGTCTTTTCACATACTTACTGATATGTTATTGTAAGGGTTTGCTTCTGCTACCTTTCTCATAATGTTCCTGGAAAGAAAAGTCATATGCATAATGGAGTTTTAAAGCATGCACTAGTGTTTCCATTATGTCAGATGAACCACTAACCATCCTGTTTATTCATAGATAGCAAACTTGCCAAAATTATGGGGAGGGCTCAGAGGGAAAAGGGCTGCTGTTGTAGCCTTTCTGTGAATAGAGGAGCTTTCATATATCCCGCTCTTAAGAGAAGGCAAACTGTGGTGCAGAGAAGGAGGAGGTCAAATGATATTCCTGGAGTTCCTTTAGGAATATCTTGTCAGAGCCAAGAATTGCTCCAGGTGCCAGCCTGGAGCTGCAATGATCAGTCTCTCCAGTGTTCTGTAGTTATAAATTGCTCTTTGCGTGTTCCTTTTCACATCAGCATCCATTAACTTTAGTACTCCTAATACTTGGTTGGAAGTCATCCACATGAAATAATCAGACTGTTTAACCAAAATGAGTGAGCTAGCCTGCATCTAAGGGCTTACTGAGTGCTTGGGGTTTGATATATATGACATTTTCTTTAAGGAATCTTCCTGAACCTACTGTTAATAGGCTTAGGAATTCGGAGCTGTGAGGTAGAGGTAACTTTTTTTTTTTCCCAAGCAACTATTTTAGTATTCACTTTATTTTGGCTTTATTTTTTGTCCCAGAAAACCTCAGCTTAGATGAAGCATCTGGTTCTCTGTTAAGTTTTAATTTTTTTTATTCAATTCTACAGCTGCACAAACTGAAGCTCAAAGAAACCAAGTGTCTTGCCCAAGGTCAGACTGAGTTGGTGGTTGAGCCAGGAATAGAACTCAATTATGGTATTTTTTAAATTTTTTTTTTAAACAATAACATGCAATGGCTGTAATGAGAGGTTTAGAAGAAAGTTGACAGATTAAAATTACTGTTGAGTTTCTCTCTTTTCCTTGTTCTTGAAAGAAATCTGGCCTCAAATGACTCAGAGTTAGAAGGGCTAAGCTAGTTACGAAGTAAGTCCAGTTTTACTTAACTATACATGTACTAAAACAATCTCAGATAACAGTAGCCTTACATAGCATGACTTAGGCCATTTTCAGAACATGCAATGACCCTGAAGAGCAGCTTTTGAAATGTCTTCTCCTGTCCATTTCCAGTTGCTTGTATTGATACTAAGTTAGATTCTGACTGTGATAAACCTAGATAGGCTGAGAAAACTTAGCTGTAGTTTCCTAGTGACAGAAGTCTGGTGAATGAGGGTGCATGGAAAAGGAGTGGTAAAGGCTAGTAAAGAGTGCAGGAAGGAAGGGAGGAAAGAGGTGCCCAGGATGACTGAGTGATAATTACAAAATTGACAGAATTTAAAATATTTTTTTACTTGTTGGAGTCCTGGTTTAGCTTGAAGAACACCATGCCAAATTGCAGGTTCTAGATACAATGTACTAAAGGGGATGTGTACAGCATGGAGATACAGGAACTCTATCATTGATGTTCTTCAGTATGCCTATGCCCTGAAAACTATTACTCATACCGTTATGCATCTGCAGACCCATGGACTTCTCTGAGATACTAATAGGAACAGTCTGCGCTGATATACACTAGATAGCTTAATATATGGGAATTTTCTCAAGCAGCTTTTTCCTACCTTCTGTCAGCTACTGTGAGAAAGACAAGGTATTATAAGCTAGTGTGTAAGTAATATCATAAACATTTATGGAAGACAACCTCAGTATTCAAAGATCTGTTCTTACAGAACCCTGTTTCTTACTGCAGCAAATTTAAGTTTTAACAATGCCACATATCATCAATCTATTAGAATGTCAGACTACTCACTCAAAGGATTCACACGGTCACCTACATTCTATGGCTAATTTATGTCAGACTCTTTCTTGCACAAAGGGCTATTTATGATCTCTCAGTACAACTTTCTTAGTATAGCTAATAGTTCCCTGCAATGTTATTTTGCTAATGGCTCTGTGAAGACAGTTCAGATGTTGAAAGATTTGTATTTTCTCACCTAGGACGTGGAAGCAAAAAATTATTTTTTTGAATAATAAGGGTGCTATTTTGTCAGCACAACAAGGAAAACTAAAAGATTGATTAGAAAATGTTTGAGGAAAGAAGTTCCAGAAAACAACTATGTTGGCTTTGACACTGATCCTTTGCAGGGTTCTGCCTGAGAATGTCTGTCCTGTGCATTGTTTAACTGAAGTCACTCTCAGAAAGTGGTCATGATGTAAAGTCTCACCCATGACAACCAAAACTTTGCAAGATATAAGTCTAAAAGTTCAGTTCCCTAAAATAAATGTTTGAAATATGGTTAATGCATGAGCAGAGTCATAGCACACAGTTCTGTGTGGGGTGTTTGGAGTGTGCCTGTACATAACCTTGATGATACAGAGGAACAACTGAGCATATCATTACTTGCATTTCTGAGAAATTGGCCCAGTAAGAGATACTGAAGTCTCCTACTTGTGTTACTGTCATCAAAGCCTTACAGCTGCCTCCAGCTGTATTTAGGGAACTGCCCTGCAAGGTATTGGCTGGAAACGCAAACTCTAATCACATTCCTTTACTGATTATTTTTCTTCTGTCTGAGTTTGTTTTGAGTTCCTGCAGGTGAGGATGAATGTTGTACAGTGTTTGGTATAGAATTCAGAGTACAGTACTTCACTGCTTTGTATAGGATAGCTAACAGGAAAGAGATGTTCTCATTGCATCTCCTTATGAGAGTCACTTGGGAAGGAGGAGTAACAAGCATCTGAAGTCAGTGAGGCAGAGAGGTGTCTGTGCTGGAAGGCTTATGCCAGTCTGTCTCCGTCTGGCTGTTGTGATTGCTGCACTGCACAAGAAAGCCACTTTGGTGTTGGTTCACCAAATTGTTTTCATCTCTTCGTGGTAGACATCCATTGTATAAACAAGTTGCCTGAACCATAATGCGGCATTAAACTCACCAAGGCTTTATGGTCAGTGCACAGCTATGCAACTTGATCTTATTGCTGAATTCATCAGGAAAGCTGTGCGCGAACCTATGTTTCCAGCAGATGTTTCTGTTTTTTAAGCAGAGACATTATAATCTTTTATTTGTCTTTCATTTCTTTCCATGAAAGCACAGTAGGGACAGTGTTTATCCCTGGTGATCAGATCTGCCAGGTTGCAGTCCTCCCTTAGACATAATAATTTTGCTGAACGCAGAGATCTTTTCTGAAGCTGGTTTTAAAAGGGGGATGTGGGAACAGCCTTAAAAGAATGAGTTTCCCAGACTCACAAAGTCTTAATGAATATAAAATTGTGGATTTTAATACAATGTGTTGTCTTTAAGAAAGCATTGAATGTGATTTGATTTAATTCTACAGGGAGTAAGTTGGCAGATACTCAGAAACTTTCAGTCTTTTGCAAATGTAATTTGATCTAGCGTTATTGTCTTCAGTGGGATTATGACAATTTATTTCTGCTGAAATTTTTTTCCAGTTCTCTTCGTACTAGGTTAACTCTACAAATTTGTTAGAGTTGTTCCTGATCCACAGCAATGTTAATGAGATTGAAGTCGGTCTATTGTCTCTGCAAGAAAGTAAATAAAACACTATTAAATGAACTCATAGCCTGTAGATAACACTGCTATACAGGAAAAGTCTTAAGCTGATAATAAGGATACTCCTACCTGACAGTCACTTAGCTTTAGCCATGTAAATGCAATGCAGTTGGAGCCCATAGCACAGTAAATCTAAGATCACATTTTACAAAATAGGCTGAACATCTTTATCTCCAGTTTGTGCTCTTACATCCAAATCTGGGTTTTGAGTGTTCTGTGAGAGGAGCCGGAGAGTTTCTGAAGATCTGATCACTTAATTGAAATGATAGGATGGGAGTTCAGACCTGCTGAAAATCTGGTTGATTTGTGGCTATGGAGCACACTGGGAAAATCTAGTTATTTTGGTTAAGAAATGTGTAGACAGCTTAAAGTCTCATACAGTATAAATTTGGTTTTGCTTCAAGTACAACCTGATTGCAGCACCTTTGATATCTTGGTTATACAACCGATAGTTAATTGGATTAAATTATGGCTTTTTGCCAAGATAAATTAGCTCTGGTTACTGTGAGGTGATTTTGAACATGCAGTAATAACATGGAAAATAGTGCATGTTATTGAGAGACCTTTGAAAAAATATGTGGCAAATCTCAGTAGGTCAATAGGTCAAAATACACAAAGCTGCTGTAGACTCAGAGCTTTTCCATTCACAGTCCAGCAGAGGTCTGAAGGCTGTGTGAAACTCTGCAAGACAGCAAGGTTATCGGGGAGGGGGGAAGAGGGAAGAAAAATATGCATATTTAATTTTATGTTTTAGTAAGAACAGTAGCAGCAGCTACTGTCTACCAACTAATGCAAATTAAAAGATAGATTGAAGTTCTGACATAAAGCCCTGATTCTACTACTATGATTATAACACTTGTTTTCAGGGTGACCTTATGCAACTTATACCATGTTGGATTTTGCTTCCTTCTTCAGTTTCTCAGGTTGCAATTCCTCCCTTTTAAAGTGTATTGAGGACTTCTGATGAAAACCAACAATTTAATAATTATGCACTAAAATGTTATTAATAATAACCAACATTTCAGTTCCTTTAGATAGGGCTGTATGTGTTATAGTAAATGTTAGTTTGCAGTTACATCTTCCAAGTCCACAGTTTGAATTCCTGGCATGTCACATAATGTGTTTAAAGGTTCTCATCACTCCCAGCTTGCAGAAAATGATTCAAGAGAGATCAGTTTCTATGAAGGCATCTCAACTTTGTAAGTCAGTTTTCACCAGTATTTAGTCCCCACCAGACTATAGTAAGAACAGCTCATCTCTAATCAGGCCAGTAGATCTTCACCTACACCTTTCTTACAAAGTTTGCATGTCTGTTATTCTTGATCCTCCTTTGTTTCAGATTTCCCTTTAATGTATAGTGCAGATTTGAATTCACCTTCAGGTTTGAGTATTCTTGTCTTCTGACCCCAGCAGAGAGGTTCTGGACATCTGCTCAGACCAAGAAATGGTTTCACTATGATATAGAAAGAAGACGAACTTTGCTTCAGTTTTACACTCTCCTCTCTGTATTGCTGCATTTTATTTTGTTTGCCTCTTTCTGTGTTTACATTCATTTGCTACCTCTTTCAGACTTTTTCTCTCTGCTTACCCCAAATCTTACCTGGAAAGCCACTGCCACCCATGATGTTTCCCTTGGGGGGTTGTCAGGGGTGGTGGAAAACTAAGTTCTTTGGCAAGCGTCCTCCTCTGCTTTTGGCCGTGTGCAATGCTGTGACCATTTGGCATCAGCAGAACAATTCAGCAAGCAGCAGATGCAAAGGGATTTAGTTGCCCTGACTCACATAGAGCTGTGCTGATTTACACCAACTGAAAGCCTGCATTCACTATGCTTTGTCCCCCCAGTTCTATGCTAGTTCACCAGCTGAGGGTCTAGCCAACTGTCTTTCATAGATGCGTGGTCATTTCTATTAAGATAAATGTGATGATAGTGTTATATCCTGTCAGTGAACACTGCTGTGTATGCAAGCATTCAAAGTCGTGTTAGTAGACTTCAAAGGATACACTGCATAATCAGGCAAGCTGCTTGTGAACTGAAGGTAAGATAAATCTTCAGTGGCCCAGTAAGCAAAATAAATAACAGTATATTGTGCTTACATTTGACTGTCCTCTGTGATTCCTGTTTGCAATGTCTCTTTTAAACTAAGTACTGAAACAAGCATATTCAGTTGGTTAGAGGGATTTTTCAGAGTGCATGAGAATGTACATGAAAATAATAGACCGAATCTAGTCCTGCCAAGTTCTTCCTTCTGTTTATACTGTATCATATAAATTTAGCTTGCTAAATGTAAGCATGGTTTCTTTCCCCTCAGAAGTAAATCCCATGTTCCCTAACAGGAAAAAGAACTCATGGACTTCTGTGGAGAGATGCCTAGTTGTCTTGATCTGGTTTCTTCAATACTTTCTTCCTTGGTACCAGTGTTGGGTCCATTCCATAAGTTTCTGTCTCTGCTTCAGGTCTTTTGGATGCTGTGGTAATGTAAAGCCTCTCACTTTCTGATTTTGTAGGTTCTCTAACACTTTATTGTGAAAGTTTTCTGAGAGACTATAGGAACTATAACAACTAGTTCTCTATCATCTACTATCTTATGAATTCATTCAAAGAATGGAATAGATCAGTGAGACATCTTTTTTGTAAATAAGTTAGACTCCAATGTGCTGTAATTGTTATATTCATCCCAAGTAATTTACAAGTTACAAGGTTTAATGGACTCTAAAACACCTGTAGATAAGGATTGGTGAAAATGATCTTTTAATTAAGAACTACACAGAATACCAAAACGCATGAGAACTCTCTTAAACTTCTCTCTCCTTTTTTTTCTGTGTATCTTTCCTTTTTGTGTGATGCCTCCTACCTACTTTTCTTTCAAAGACTTTGGTAAAGGGCAGCTGATGAAAGAAAAGTGTATACTTTCAAAAGACAGAATCTGTATCTGGACTCATTGCTATGTTATGTGATCTAGAAATAGGCAAATCTAGAACCCTTAAGACCAAGCGTTGACTTGGTACGCAAGAGCTACTGTGGAGTAAGTTCATCCTTCAGCATGAGTTGAACTTGGAGCAAGTCATGATGGTGCAAAGCATCACTTCTGAAGAGTTGATATGGTTTAGAAATTAGAACTTAGAACCTCTCCCTCCTGACTAAATGGCAGAAAACCAATTATATCTCTTGGGATAAACAGTGTGCTATTGCACCAGATTTGAAAAAAGCCAAAAATGTTATTGCTGTATCTGATTACAACTCATTTATTCCCTTCCCTAGATCCCACACTTAATTTTAAAGCTTTGGGCTGTGAACATAAAAGATTGCTATTTGAGTGTGTTGATATGTCCCCTAGCATATGTTTAACATATGCGATGATAAGTCCCCATGTATTAGGGACTGCAGAAAGTATGACATTCTAGCACGAGCATTATTATTACTTTGTGATGTTGTGATGTTAGAATCCAGGATGTTGTGACATTAGAAGCCAGGATGCAGTAGGCTTTTTTCCTTCTCTAAGATCTTCATTCCACAGAATTGTATTCAGTATTCATAAATGCTGTGTATAGTGCTGTTTAATGTAGTACCGCACTGGCTTTTATCAGAACGCTTAGTATTTAGTGATCTATTGCTATGCCCAGCTGCTTGTGACAGCTTAAATGTGAATTTGCAAAACTTTTTAAGTGCAAAGATTATAATTTACAGTAGGTTTCTAATGTGTCTACTTCGAAAAATCCTGACTTGGGTTCTAAGTGCAGTTCCCAAATGCTGCAGCTGTATTACTCAGCACTTGTTAGACCACTTTGAGAATAGTGCATCCCGTTTTGCGCCCCTCAATAAAAGAAAGGTGTTGACAAACTGGAGTGACTTCAGGAGAAAGTCATGAGGATGGTTGTGGGGGCTGGACATACCTCCTGTGAGAAGAAGCTGAGGAAACTGAGCTTGTTCAGCCTGGAGAAGAGAAAGCTTCAGGGGTAACTAATAGCAGCTTTCCTGTACTCATGAGGAAGTTATCAGGAAGATGGAGCCAGGCTCTTCACAGTGGTGCATAGTGGGAGGATGGGAGACAATGGGCGTGGGTTGAAATATGAGTCTCAACAAGAGAGGTTCAGACTAGATATAAGAAAAAATTTTACCTCATGGTGGACAGTGAAGCAGTGGGACAAGTTACCCAGAGAGTTTCTGGACTCTCCATCCTTGGAGTTTTGCAAGTCCCAACTGGACAGAGCCTTTGAGCAATCTGGTCTGCCTTTGTAGCCCACCCAGCTTTGAGCAGGAGGTTGAACTACAGACCTCCTGAGGTCCCTTCCAATCTGACTTATTCTATGACCCTATGCATTTTGGATAATAATTAGTGGTTGTCCAGAGAAAAATACCCAGACAAGACTACTAGACTTCCAAGACAGTAAAAGAATTTATAGCCAAGTGATGCTGATGTTTAATTTTTACAAGGGTGTGTAGCAATAGGACAAGGGGTAATGACTTTAAACTGAAAGAGGGTAGATTTAGATTAGATATACGGAAGAAATTCTTCACCGTGAGGGTAGTGAGGCACTGGAACATGTTACCCAGAGAAGTTGTGGATGCCCCATCCCTGGAAGTGTTCAAGGCCAGGTTGGATGGGGCTTTAAGTAACCTGGTCTAGTGGAAGGGGTCCCTGCCCATGGCAGTGGAGCTGGAACTAGGTCATCTTTAAGGTCCTTTCCAACCAAACCATTCTATGATTCTATGATTTTTCTCAGGATCGAGCAAAATGCTGGATAAGTTTTGAACAATCTTAATGACTTTGATTCCTTTTCCAATACCTGTTTGGAAACTATCCCAGTAGAAGCAACAGAGCAATTTAAAGAATATTTATCTCACCTACTTGGTAAAAAAGAGTATCGTCTTATTAACATATCCAATTCTTTCTGCTAGTATAGGTCACCTACAGTCCAGCAGCCCAAGATACAAATTCAACTTCATAGCAGATGTGGTGGAAAAGATTGCACCTGCAGTTGTGCACATCGAACTTTTCCTCAGGTAACACTTTCAATTCTTTGTGTTTTAATTGCATTGTTTAAAAAAGGTCTACAAAGATTTTCCAGTGTAGTAGCTTTCTTTTTGAATTCTTGAAGTTCAGAAAATACTCTGAAACATTACAGCAGATTCTTTTATCCAGAGAACCACCCATTTGTGTGGTTTGTTCCTGTTTAGTAGATCTATTTTATTGGGCTTACAGTCTTTACAGTACTTTACAATACATATTGTCTACCATAAAATAAGTCTATCTCATCTTTGGAGGTCTCCAGCCTTCACTAAAATGTGTTGCTTGTTGGATTATGTTTATTATCTCAGTTTTAAAAAACAAGCCCAGAAGGTAAGCTGGAAAAACATAGCTCCTTATTGCTTATTCTACTTTCCATGAGAGTTGATTTTAGTTTAGCAAAGAGAACGTTAAGAGGTAGCATGTTAACTAGATGTAACCTATCTAAACACAGAAAAGATTTCTGATAGGAAAAAAAATTTAATAAATTTGCTGACCAAAACAAAGCAATATTCAGTGTACTGAAGCTGGAGCTGAGGCAGGAAGTTCAACGTTGAGTGCTCAAAACAACCTGAGAGGCAGGTTTAACATTGAGTGCTCAAACCAACCTACTGTCAGAACAAATTACTGCAGATATTATATGTGCTCCATTACCTGAATACCTTTCTGCTTGGAGTACTCTCATTTTGCATAGGCTTAAGAATTTCTTGGAGAATTTTTACAGGCTTTTTTAATATGCAAAATTGAGATAATCAGGTTTTCTGAGACATAGCTTTATGCACATGGTGATTGGTCTTTTGAGAGAATGTTACAGCTGAAGATGTTTAAGATCTTTGCATATGTAGTTAAGATTGTTTGTTCTTTCTTGGTAAGTAAATGTTTGTCCAGCAGCCTGCTGGGCGCTAATTGTTATACTGCCTTCTGCCTGGGATTGGCTCCAATTCTTTACTGCTGAATAGCCCAAAATTTTCAAACAATTTCCTAATAAGGAGCACATCTTGGAAGAAAGAAGAATTTGTGGACCTTTTCTCATGTTCTACTTCCCAGGCACTTTCTGTTCCCCTAACAAATCGAAGGTCATTACAACAGTTGTTCATAGAGAAAAGTCATAGTACTTTAAACAGTTTATAAAGTCTTTTAACTGTCTATATTGCAGTAAATCTTGTTTCCCACCAAATTGTACCCATTGTTAGTGTTTTTAATTTATTTTCTTTCACATTCCCAGTCCTTTCAGTTTCCAGACATGCTTTTTCCTGCCAGTCTACACTTGGGCTTCATGAGTCCCTGATACATCACCTCTTCCTTTACTCCTCTGTCCAGCTGCAAGGTTCCTTCTTCTTCCCTTTTTCCCATTAGAGGATCAGTCCATTTGTCATCCCTACTATTTCCTGTCATCATTTTCTTCCCATATAGAAGCAGCAACCAGTGGGAGCGGATGGACTCCTCCTCCTTCCCTTTTTGTCACCTAGCCTCTTTGCAAGGAAGCCTATAAAGATAGAATTAGAAACCAAAGGAAAAAGACCCTGCGGGTTGTCTGAAAACCTCGGTTCCTATCTCCCTGACTGACTAATGCCGTCACAATTTTCAGCAAAGGATCCCTTCTCTGTCAATTTTTTTAGATTTAATTTTTGTAAGGGTTGTAACATTGGTCATCAAATGCTTTATTGTTTCTTAGGGTGAAAGGTGATAAATGATTTCTAATGTAATCTTCTCTTAAGTTATGCTTCCCTTATGAGTTGTAATTACTTGCTTTTTGTACAGGCACCCTCTCTTTGGTCGAAATGTCCCGCTTTCCAGTGGATCTGGGTTTATTATGTCTGATTCTGGTTTAATTGTAACCAATGCCCACGTGGTGTCAAGCACCAATGCTATATCAGGGAGACAACAATTGAAAGTGCAGCTACAGAATGGAGATACCTATGAAGCAACCATAAAAGACATTGACAAGAAATCTGACATTGCAACAATAAAGATTCACCCTAAGGTGAGTGGCATAAACAGATGAATGAATTAATTTGGGAACTCTATTTCGGTTTCAGTTACTACAGAGTGATTGGCTGGAATATGTGTTTAGGGTTTCCTTGGAAATATATCTGTGGAAAACAATGTACTGAAATACAGGCCTGGAAATTTTTCATATCTTAGAATTAATTACTTTGTGTTCTGTGCTAGGAACTGCTAAAAATGAAGAAAAAAAAAAAAAAAAGCTCAGTTGATATGTGGCCACATTCTGCTATCTTTACCTGAAAACCCAGGCTATTTTGGCTAATCCTTCTAGCTTGTGCCAGTACATGGACTGCAAGATGGTACATAGCATAGGGAGAGCAGCAGGCTGGTCAACAGCTGGTTTGTATGCTGTTTCTAGGAGGAGGAGGGAGCAATCTGCTGGAAAACAGGGAAATATGTTGCAAAATCATGCTGGCTTTTTTTTTTTTTTTCTGGATGAAAGTGCAAGGTACTACTGCTAGCAGTTTCTGAAGACAGCTTAAAACAGTAACACCCTGCAGTATACTAACTTTACGTGGCATAAGTTTTGGGTATATGACAGTGAGTGGCTCTTTCATTAAAGTAATGGAAAGTGTACTTTCCTAACTTCTTGCTAGTTTTTGATCTTTCCAATCAAATTATTTTCAGGTATAAACTAATGCTTATTTCTTTCTGTATTTATTTAAGAAAAAACTACCAGTATTGTTACTGGGACACTCTGCTGATCTGAGGCCAGGAGAATTTGTGGTGGCAATTGGAAGTCCTTTTGCCTTACAGAACACTGTGACAACAGGTATTGTCAGTACTGCTCAGCGAGATGGCAAAGAACTTGGCCTGCGGGACTCAGATATGGATTACATTCAGACAGATGCTATTATCAATGTAAGTACTAGGTACGTGAGGAGCTAAGCTTCACAGTCCTGGGACTTTGAAATCCCCACCTATACTCGGCAGGGAAGTGTGTGCTCTGAAAAATGAATCCACTAAATAAAAGCAGCTTTGTTTAAAATCAGTGATAGGGACTTCTTTTTATAAAAGACTATGCAGTGTCTGTAAGTTGCATTCAGGCATTAGTGTTGTGAAGGTTATGATAAATAAAACTACCCTCCTTGAGATTGTCTATGAAGATGTTATGTATGACAGACCCTTGTCATTCTGTAGATCTCATAGAGTTACACATGGTTGTATACACCAGCAGTAAATCAACACATTTCTCTCTCTGCTTGTTCAGCTGATCTGGCCAAGCAAACTGTAGAATAGAGCCAAAGTTTCTTTCATCTCCATGCATTAGAACCAAATGGAGTAGTCCGATTGATAGTATCTGCTTCAATTTAATGACAGAACACTCAGGTAAGAACTTAAGGAGAGGGCTGTTTTTTTGTTGTTTTTCTTGTTTTCCCTCTGCACATCACATACTCCAAGTTAGAATCTATGTGTAAAATAACATAAAGTTTGAGATACAGTTTGGAGTTAAGAGTCCTAGCACTGCATGTTTTATAGGAATACATGAAAATAATGTCCCTTCAGAGCAGCTTGGAGGGATCCAAGAGCTAAAGTCAAGTCCTTGGGTGTATATATAACTTGTTGTGATTCTCAAAAGAGCACTGCATGCATATCAGAGGTAGAAAATGACCTGAAATTTTATGGCTTAAATCTGTTATACATTGAAAGGAAAATATTTTCAGGATTTATTTGCTGGACCTCAATGTCAAATTTGACATAACAAGTCATAACGCTTAGTGTTTTACACACACAAAGCGCTTCACAAATGTTTGTCGTCATAGACTTGTCAAGAGAAATTTTATGGGAAAAAAGAGAGTACCTACTTTTTGTGCTAAGAGATGACATAAAAAGGAGATTTTCAAAAAGCTTCTATATGATCCAGGAGCTGGACCTCTTAAGACATTTAATTGGAATTACTCTCTTCAGTTTTATAAGGAGAATAGGAAAACTTAGGCAAAATGGGTTACTTGAGAGCACACACTGAATTGGTGGCAGAGACAGAATTAGAACATGGGATTCTTGACTTCACGGCTATACACATTCCTCAAGATCAAACTGCTTCCTTATATATACTTAGGCATTCACTACCCTCAAAAGCTAATGTGCAAGTTTAGACAAGGATAGCAGAGTGTGTCAGGTAACGCTAGACCAGATGGAATAGTGATAGCAGAGGAGGTAAGGAAAATGACAGTATATTTGAATTGCTTTGCCATCTGAGGCCACAAAATATGAAGACAGTCCCTGGCATAGGGATGCTTTGTGCTTAGCTAATGCACTAGTTTTCTCCTGAGAATGGGAGGAGTTTGAGAGCTGGTCTATTCAGAGCATTCCTGTGGCTCAGCCAAGACTCTCCTGCAGGAATGTGCATGCAGCTGCCTTCTGAGACATGCTAGGACAGCAGAAACATGGGGCAGGAGAAAACAGGACCATACATTCCTAAATGCAGCTGTACTGCATGTGCTGAAGTTCTTTCATTATCACATCCTTCAAAGAGAGGACAAGTGAATGAAAGGTGATATGCTGAGGAAGGCTGGAAAATAGTTCTCTTGCTTCCTTTGTGTCAGTCAGACATAAAAATCAAGTGTGTAGCCTCTGATCACTGGAAAGAGACAATGTAAGAAACTGATACCTTTGTTTAAACTTGAACTTTGAAGCTGTTTTAAAAACTTCAATGTCTGTTTTATTCTTCTGAGAATCTGTAAGGTTTGCCCAGTGCTATCTAAGTGTAAACAGTTTATATGGCTCATGTTGCTGTCATGCATCACTTAGCTTTTGTTTCTTCTGAGTGGTAAGTTGCTGCTCTTGGCTGTTAGTAGACCTACTTGAAAACTCTGGCATTAGTCAAAAACAAACTTGTTGAGCCAACATGAAGACAGACAAGAAACTTCTCCAGCTCTCATTTCCTGTGGTCCTGTTGCATGTTTCCTTTGAAGGCCATTAGGTATTAGGCAGTTTTGGACTGCTCAGGGCTGCTATATGCCCTCCCTAGAGAGGGTTGCATGTCTGTAGTTACTAAATCAATCCTTACGTAGTACCTACCTCATAGCAATACACTGTGATTAAACACGTAAAGTACTGTGTTCTTCTCCAGTGGAGAATAAGAGAGACTGACAGTGTTACAAACCAAAGTGATTAATAAAAGTACTTAAGAACTGTATGTGCATCTCACTGAAATATGACTTTAAATAGCAATTAATTATTTCAAAACCTTGTTCTGACAGTCTTTAGTAGAATCAAAATACACATTTTAACTGTTTAATGATCCTTTGTAAACTTAGGGTCTAACTGTTTGGAATGGTGCGTTGCTGCTCCTCACTTACAGCCTGTTTCTAGGAAAAAAAATAATCTAATCATAAGAGTTGTGAACAGGTAGGGTAAGAGCTACCTGTAATGTTCTGTGATCAATATTGTATCCTTCAGTGCTACTTAAGAAATGACCTGCTCTCTTTTGTTTACGTACAAATAAAATAGTCTTTGAAATGAAAATTGCATTTCCTATAGTGAAGCACCAATTTATTGTTCCCTTATGTCATTTTTACAGTATGGCAACTCTGGAGGACCTCTAGTTAATCTGGTAAGTCCAAGTGACTTGGTTTCTGTTTTGTTTTGTTTTAAGAGCTAGTTTGAAATAAGTGGGAGAATATTTTTTTTAAAAGATTCATAGATAGTACCAACTTCCAGTCATTCAAGCTAATGGTAGGCAGATACCCTGAAGCTAATACAAACTGTGCAAATTAGGTCGCAGTTCATACACCATTGAAAAACATTTCCCCATAGAGCAGAGGAAATTTTACACAGCAGTGAGGAAAATGGGATCTGGTAGGAGCAGTTATGCTCTATGCTCCTTTACACTGTGAAACTTGGGATGCACGGCAAAGATGGGACAGGGTTAACCTGTACAACTGATTTTAAAATAGATTGCTTTAAACCAACACTGATTTTGCAAATCAGCGAATTGTGGCTGTAGTGGTAGTAGTGACTCCAC